ATTCTAACAATAATTTAGAACGGGATGTAATTTTAGTCAATAAGAATAGTAGATATTTATACATTTGTGAAAGCCATCACACACTACTCCCAATGAAATCAAGGAGACACTTTATTACAGGAATGAAGAACCTGGATACAACTTTGATAAATCAAGGTTATTTTATCCAGATGTCTACTGGGTAACTCATTGGGAGAGCAACAAACATATAAGTGGGAAAGATCCACTTCCCGACGATTATGATTTGTGGGTGCATGTGTACGATGCTCCGCAAAAGTGTGGTTTTTCTACATAACACATGGACATGAGTAAGATTTATGATTGTACTATCAGATTACCTGTGTTTGTTAAAAATTATTAAAATAAATAACAATTGTAGTAATGGTTGAAATAAACTGTGTATTTACGATTGTAGCATAAAATATTGTGCGATGCACATTTATGAAAAATTAAATTGCAAGTAGAACATTTTTCGATGTTATAAATTATACAATATATAAATTTAAACAATTCAAAGTGAAATCCTTTATTATTTTATAGAAAAAGATAAAAAAAAAGGCTTTTCGGCTTGAAGGAGAATTAGGCATCAGAGATTATCCCTTATTACCAATTCCCATGTGCCAATTTGTCTAATTTGTTAGTGATGAAGATCACAGATTTTCAATTGCTAATAATTTCTATTAAGATTTGCTTAAATGGATACATAAAAGATAAATAGAAGCGAAGCATTATCTTGTTAAAGTCTAAGGTCTGATAATGCCTCTATTTTTCCTAACGCAATGGACTAACGAACCATCGAAAGGTGCTCTTGAAGACGATCGTATGCTTAATTTTTACACCTATGGCGCAATAAATTTACGTGAGCAAACTATGGACAACCATTTTTTCAATTTTATTAATTTATCTTTAATTAGATTATTTTTTAATCAAATAAAAAATAATAAGGAATATTATAACAAGTAAATTGTTTTTGTCAACATGTATTTAAATTCTTAAATATTACATATAACAAATAATAAAAAAGATAATTATGGAATCAAATGTATCTAATCTAATTTATTCTATTTAATAAAATTGTCTTCTTTATGGGAGCATTGCCAGTAAAATCTATATTCATATTGATTTATTTACCTTGACAATTCATGGGTATTATTCTAACTTTAAGTAAAATTTTTTTCCAATTCTTTGAATAAATTTCCAAATTTTGAACAAGAAATGGATCAAAATTTATTTGACGTTTTATACCAGATAATAATAGAACATTTAATTCATACAGAAAAAAAATATCTTCGATTAACTATATTGTGTTGAATACATGAAAATAGAAATAAAATTTGTCGTTAAATTAAACACACATTACAACGCTGCAGCAATTCAAGTGATTATAAAATTTTCAATATTGATTATTTTGTCACATATCAATACTTTTTTTTTTTGCTAACTACATTAACGAAAACCTTTGTGTCACCTAGTGATAAAATATTTGAAAGTTGTCCAGCGTCATAAGATGCCATATTTAAAAAACCATTTACATATATTAATATTACACCTTTTTTTTTTACCACAACTCATATTACAAGGCCAAAAATAACAAAAAAATAATGCTTTAGTGAATTTTGTTAACATTTAATATTCTTTATTTTATTAGACACAACTAGCAAGAAGTGGAAGAAGTGAGCAAACTCGGTATTTATTTATTCGTTTTTCGCTATTTATTATTATTATTATTATTATTTCCTTCCTATACTGGACGGACGGAAGACGGCTGGAGTTCGACTTGGATGACTAGACTTAATTGCAAACTTGGCGCTACAGGAAGGAGGTAACATAGTAGTTTCATTGTGTAAGAGAAATTGACCATGTAGATCGTCCTGGCTTCTCGCTTCCAGAAGGTCTCCTAATGTTACCTACTCGCGATACTAAAAACTTTCATATCATATGAAACAGAACAAATTTATCAGATAGGCCATTTATCAATTAAGTTTAAAATATATTTATTAATTTATGAGAAGAATTTCACCAATTTGCCAAGCAAATTTTATGTTACATTATTATAATCGTTACTAAATTGATATTTGTTTTATGTTATATTTTCATATTTTGATATAATTAACCGACAGCTTTTTGAAACCAAAAGAAGGCATTTTTTTTCTGTTCCTTAACCATTTTTATATAAAACTGAAAGATTATATTGGATCTTTGCAGTAGAAAAGTTTGAAACGACTGAAAAAATAAAAAATGAGTTAATGCTAAACCTTAACATATTTTGACCTAAAAATCTGTTGAAAATGGACGAATTAATTGATGCAAAAATAATCTTGCAAATTTATATTATAGTGGTAAAGCAGAAAAATAATTTAGAAAAGGCCCTTTATTGATTTAAAAAGCTGCATATTTATGCATCTTTGCAATAGAAAGGTGGAACTGCCGGAAAAAATCAATTTTACTTTATATGCAAAATATGCTTTTTGATACAAACAAAAGGTCTTTCTAATTTCATTTCTGTTCCTTCACCATTTTCTATATATAAAGATGCAAGATATTTTGTGATTTATTTCTTCATTTTCTGCAGGTTTTTTATGCCCAATAATTAAAGTATAGTTTACTTCAGTTCCAAATCCTTTTTAAAGCATATACCTAAATACCTAAATAAAATTGCGACAAAGGATAATCTCTTAAAGATACAAATCCTTCATTATTGTCGTCTAGACTAGGCAGTTTATAATAATAACAAATTCCAAGAAACTATTATTTTTATTTTTAATTTTTAGATTTGCTGCGATTAATTAATTTATATTTCATTTTGTCCAAATCTAATCAACATACAAAAGGAATGAAATCTTAAATTATTATTTTTCGTTAATTAAGTTAATAAATAATAAGTTACTTGCATGTGATGAATATCATTTGAAATAACGGGTCTAGCAAGTTCTAATTAAAAAAAGAAATGTGCTTATTTAATACGAAGTTAGTTATCCATTAAATGAAATGAAATTCAAAAGTTGTATGTTCATATTTTTTAAGGAACTAAGTGAATATTAAAATTATCTTGATCAATTATTTATATTGGTTTAAAAGAAAATGCAAATATTTAAGTGTTAATCATGAATTTTTAAAAAAGAGTAATAGTTGATGAGATTAGATAGACTGTTCTATTTGTCGGAAAGGAAAACATAAAAAAAAAAATAGACGACAATCAAACGATAGCGATATCTATGAAGAATTTAAAAATATCTAAATACGAAATTTGCTTTATCTTGGAAAATTCGCAAAAATCGGTTTACGTATACCGGCACGTGAAAAACAATTTTGTGGTCGAGCGTTCAATATTTCCTCAGAAGGTTTGAGCTCGCTAAATATGTTAAAAGTAAATCACAAGTCTATTATGGCTTGGTCATTTTCGATTTGGTACGTACGTACATACCCTAAATTTCCAAATATTGCCTCAAACTGGAAAGAAATTATTATTAGACTAATATGTTCAATCAGTTCGCATAATCTCAAGTCTTTAAATATTATACAATTATGTTAGCATTTTTTATTTTAAGTTATATATATATACATACCTCAAATCACCGACCAATTTTTTGAAAAAAATAATTTTATTATTAGCAAAGTTAAAAAACTTTTATGACACGTTTCTTAAGCTATTAATTTACAAATAATAAATAATATGACTTAAATTATTCACGCGTCATTAAAAAAAATAATTATTACATTTGGATTCGTGATATTTTTCTATTGATCACTTTAATTATAAATGTAAATTGAAAATTTAAAACCAAAAGAATTAATGAAGAAACTCGTGGGCAAATTATTGGCTTGTCCAAAGCTAATAAAAGTTAACGGTATAATTCTCGCATTCCTAAAACTACAGTTCATAATTCTTTAGTACTTTTTAAAAACACAACACAACAAGTTGTGTATGGTCATCCACTTTTAATTGAAATTGATAAAAAAGGATTTGTTTTAGTAATGATTGATAAAAAAATCACGTATAACATTGGCTTATATTCAACAAAATTTTCAAGAAAAACAAATATCCAAGCTTCACAAAAAACAATTTTACACAATCTTGGATTTTCATCTTGACAAAAAGAATATCGTCATAATTGGGGACTATTAAAATATTATGGTCTGATGATTAGTGTTCTGAAAGGGTCGGGTAAAACCCGGGTCATTTAACCCGACTCGTGTTTAAAATCTGAATCATTATTTGACACGAGTCCTATATTCAACCCGACCCGTCGGATTAGGGTCATACCTTTGCTTGACTCAGGTTGACCCCGGGTTTAATCAAATATTTTGATGATCTTGGATATAAAATGTTTATATTACGTGATTTTTAATTTCTAACTTTATTTATGATTTGTGTATAAAAATGAGCGAGGCTGAGAAAACAACTCTTGGAAAGCGCCCTTATTTAAGAAGTGAACTTTTTACTAGAGATCTTTTTGAAGAAAAAGAACTTCCACAAGAACACAAAAATGCAAAAACTCATCGAGTAGTTAAGTGCTTAAACTGCCCGTAAGTATTTTAGAAAAAAATAAAAATTTGCTTAAATATTCATAAGCATTTTTATAAAAAAATTAATTATAAATCTAA